TTTCATATCATATATCTGCTCATGTCTACTGTACGTGTCTATTTAAAAATTATGAATAAAGCAGAAAAAGTTGTTCCCAGAAAAAGACACCCATTGATAACAGATTTGAGCAGTATTTCTAATTATCTGAAAACACGTACCATAAACCCTTTATTTTGCATTTCACATTCTAATTTTCAGGTGTAGCTCATCTGCTGTATTCTGCTTGCTATTCCAACCTAGGGTAGCCAGAACCTACTCGCCATTTAAAGTGTTTTGTATCTTTGTAGCAAAAGAAAGGAACCCCAAAAGGAAAAGTTCACGTCAATGTAAGCAGGAAATAAGACGACCTGTATCTCAGAAAGGAACGAAGTATGATGGAAGAAACCAATCCTTGAGTTTTTTTAATGCAGGAGTCATTTCCCCTAGCTGTACTGCTTCCTTTTGCAGAATATGCAAATTAACCAACTAATGGAGCCCTGACAGCACTAATGCCCAAATTATTAACAAACAATAACATTCTGCATCAAAGATTATGACAGCAATATCTTCTGGCATACAAACTCCATCTCTCTCATGGTTAAATAAGAAATATCTTAAGACCAAACATAATGTGTTTAAGAAAATACAAAGTCTAGCACTAAAGAGGGAATAACACTGATAAGCACTGACTGCTTTTTTTTATGCGTGGAAAATTTGTATATGTGTAAAAAAAGTTTTACATCTTTAGTTCTAGTATTTCAACAGTTCCCTGTTTTTCTTACCGTCCTAAAAACTGGACTTCACCTCTGTGATGATGAGGAATGGATTTGTACTTCCCTAAATCTCCCTCTGGTCTTGTTACATTGTATCCAGCGTAGTGAACCCTGCAGTATAATACATAAACATCTTTATAAAGAGTATTAAAAAGATGTTTTGACAAGTTATAGCAAAAGTGAAAAACCCACATCGTATCTTTTAAAGCTAAGTCTTTGTATTCACTGACATTCTCTCCCTAAAAAACCCAAAATGCTCCTAACACAACAACTAAAAAAGCTGGCAAAACCACTACAGTGTCAAAAATAATAATTTCACACTTAGTATCTCCTGCTTTATTCTTAAAGCATAACAGCATAAAAATATTAAAATAGTAAGGAAGAAGAATAAAAACATACAAACTCTTCTTATAAAATGTATCTGTATTTATAAACTCATGCAGACACTGTTTCAACGGCTCAACTAGAACATTTTACACTTGTTTACTGTGAGCAGTTAGTAATACAGTGAGCATTGTTGTCCATCGTCCAAATTATGTCAAATTAACCTCTCAAACACGGCTCCTAAGATATGAAAGATACTTGAACTCACGCTTACTCTACCTATCCTTGGGATGGTATTGCATAATGCTAGCAGCAAGAGAGACGTAAATTAAAATCAAAAAGCAACGCACAGAAGACCAGAAGGAATGAGACTAAATATACTTAGTACTGCTACCTGTTGTTACATCTGTTATTCGCTACAAGATTTATCTCTTAAAAGCCTGTTAACTGTCCCGAGGACAAGAAAAAAGAACATCATACTTATCCCTTCAAATGGTATGTTCTAATATTTCTGAAGCGAACTCTTTAGAAACGTTAGAATTTGTTCATTAAAACAAATTATAAAAAGGTAACAACTGAAAGAAAAAAAGACCTAACTGCTCTCAAAGAGTGGATATCACAGACCAGTGAGAAAGACACAAGCACTGAACACTCACCTGTTCCAAAGATCATCATCTTCTCCACCCCATCCCCAAAAGGCATTTGGAAACCCATTGATCTTCTTGAATTGTTCTACTGTCAGGCCACTTACACCACCAAAGAACTCATTGTATGGAAGACTGAAAACAAAAGACAAATTCTGTATTATTAGCTGAACTCAGATAGGTAGCCTCTCTTTGAACAATAGATTTCAACTAAACAAGAACACCAAACTAAGGACATGAACAGATGCCGAATGTACTCACTAAGAGAAACTGGGTCACAGATCACAGGTACATTAAGTACCATATACGGAAGTTGAACAAAATGCTTGCAGTAGTGTCTGATTTGCATAAAAGGTGCTCTTGAACTGTAGCTCAAATTAGTATCACCACATGAAACAAAAGCCTACTGCGTATTTCAGATGGCAGATTTAGACCCATAGCTGAAGTGTTAAGTGAAGCCCTCAAATTATGTATTTTGACACTATTCAACTGAAAAGCCCTCTCCTTAATCAAATGAAAAAATTACAAATCAGTAATGCATCAATTCAGTAATTTTAATTCATAACTATATTCTACAGAGCTGTTAAAAATCGAGAGGAACAGTTTAACAGTACATACTCAACCATGCTGGAACATATACTTTTCTAAAAAACAATTTTCCAGGTTTTAGAAGCTAAATTTTTGAATCAAAAGGATCTATAGGCTTTTTTGTCAGTAAGCATACAGTAATAACTAACACGTATTATTAAGTAACAAGCCGTTGGCCAACATGGACAGCCACTATAGCTATATAACCTAACATACTAAGGCCTAGGCAATGTGATTTCCAGCTCTCAAACCACTTTTTAATAAAAAAAATGTATTAAAGTATCTATATTTACTTCCATGCGTATTGACTTGCACCCTTAACCCAGAAGCTACTACAGTAAAGTGTGTTCCTCTTTCAGAAACAGCACACAATTTCATCAAATAAAAGTAATCAAACGTATTTTTCAGGAGACTCTTCCAAATCTGGAACCTTCAAGGACGTAGGACTATCCACAAAAGGATTTACCATTGCTCAGGGCACAAATGTCACACTGAAGGACAAATAACTCCAGAATGCCAGGGGAAAGAAAAAGAAATACAATAGAGTCATGTAATTTCTGATCTCTGTGGAAATGCAGGATTCAACCAAATCTTAATAGCTTTTGGGGAAGGTTTTTGCCATATATCCCTTTCAACATTTAACTGAAATAATAGGTGTTCTAAAAGCCGCCCCCAAAAACCCAAACCAAACTCCCCTCCCAAAAAGCAACCAACAAAAAAACTACCAAGAACCAAAAATAAAAACTGGCGTATGACAGTTAAAGCAACTGTTTCAGGTTTTTATTCATATGTATGTATGCATGTCTGTGTGGTGCACATGCACTTTTTTATATATATCCTTACATATTATTTACTTATGTATATATAAATTTATATATTTTGTAAACATATATTTTGTAAATATTTCTATGTATTTAGACATTTTATAAAGGTATACATAAATATAGATGAAATATATACTTATATGTGGGCGGTTTATATATTTTAAAATAGATATACAATCTTTAAAGGTTACACTGCTGTCAACCTGCAGTCTAAACACAGTCATGTTTTCAATGTATTGCTTTTGATCTATCAGGTTGACCAGGCTGTCAAGTTGATCAACTTCACAAACAAAATTTCAGGATGGCAAACAGATACATGTAGCAAGCTGCAAGCTACAGCTTTACGGGAAGTGACTAGAAGTGTCATGAGATAGCAGTGTTAAAAAACAAGTGAAACATCATCAATGTAAAACGGCAGAAGGAGGTAATAAACCTGCAGGACCCACTACGTTCATCAAATGTCAATAGAGACTGAATACAAGACGGTGTAGCAGTAAGAAAATCTTCTGTTTAAAAAGCAGTATGAAGCAGAAATAAATTGTACATTTATGCCAAAATTAAGTAAGACATTTTTCCACCGCAAAGGCTTATCTATCCAGAAAAGATTTCTAATAAGCAAGGTAAGTTTTTCCCCCTTGACATACATAGCCCTAATTTTTTATTTTTAAAGATCAACCTCACTGAAACAAGTCCAACACTGAAAATCATAAACAATATTTTCATATTAGCAACATATCAAATGTAGACAGCAAACTTGATTCTTCTAATAACTAGATATTCATTTATGTAAATAGCATGGTAGGACGCTTCTCCTAGTATCGGCTGGGATAGAGTTAATTTTCCTCCCAGCAGCTGCTGTGTTTTGGATTTAGTAGAGGAATGTTGTTAACACTGATGTTTTTAGTTGTTGCTATGAAATCAAGGACTTTTTCCGGTCTCCCATGTTCAGCTAATGAGCAGGTGTGCAGGAGCTAGGAGGGAGCACAGCCTGGCAGTTAACCCAAGCTGTCCGATGGAAATACTCCATTCCACAGATGTCATGCTCAGTTTATTAATAGGGATTGGCTGGGGGGGCAGGAATCTGCACTTTTACTTTTCCGTAAGTTCAAAGTCTCTCTTGTCCAGGAGTTTGAACTTTTCCAGGAATTCTGCAAAATTCTCAGTTTCTGGGTTCCATGATCGCTGCCCAGGATTGGTTACGAATCGGTTGTTAGGTGGTGAGAAAAATTGTTTTGTACATAGTTTGTTTTGCATATTCATTATCATTACTATTATCGTTAATTTTAGTAGTATTACTATTTATTTCACTGTCTTATTAAAATGCCTTAATCCCAACCCAACAAAAGATATTTGCCCTTTTGTTGATTTCTCCTCCCTATCCCGCTGGTAGGGGGAAAATGGGACAGGTGAGTGAGCTGCTGCCTAGTGCTCGTTGATGGCTGCCAGGTTAAACTACTACAAGGCTGTTTTATTGGTTTCATCTGCTGCATAAACCGTCACAAAATTTATACACACTTTGAGAATGTTTCTGTTGAATAAACGTGAATAAAGCTAATTACTTACATGTACATGTATTTGTCCAGCTTTGCTGCAAAATGGCGTGGCATTTCTCCACATCCATAATAATTTCGGTCATTTTCAGGTAAGTGATCCACATCATGAAATATTATGCAGTCCCAAACAGCATCCTTCATAGCCTCTTTGAAGCCGACATTAAAGAGCATTGCACGATTAAAAGGTTGTGTACCTGTCTTCAAACAGAAAACAAAGGAGACATTGTAAGAATCAAGAAGAAAAAGACAAAATTTCAATACTATGAGAAATAAATCTTCTACCACACACACACAAAAAAGCATGGACAAAAATGCCTGTTATTTCTCTAGCAATAGCTCTGGTTAGCATCAACTACATCAACGCTATTTCATGATTTAAAAAGTCTAGATGTTCTCCCCTCTTACATGGAACTTAACAGCATTAGCAGCTTGTAGCATTAGTTAACTCTGACCTAACAAAATATAGGTGGTTTGGATTAACACAGCATGACATTACAAGTTAGAGAAATACTGATATAAACTAAGAAAGAAACATTAAGTTTCTCAGTAAAAAAATGTTTCCTAATGTCCAGTCTAAACTGCCCCTGGTGCAGCTTTGAACCACTCCCATGAGTCCTGTCACTGGATACAAGGGAGAAGAGCTCAGCACCTCCTTCTCCACTTCCCCTCCTCAGGAAGCTGTAGGCAGCAATGAGGTCGCCCCTCACACTCCTTTTCTCCAAACCAGACAAGCCCAGATCCTTAGCTTCTCCTCACAGGACACTCCTTCCAGCCCTTTCACCAGCTTTGTTGCCGTCCATTGGATACAGTCCACAGACCTTCACATCCTTGTTGAATTGTGGGGCCCAGCACTGCACACAGTACTCGAGATGAGGCTACACCAAGGCTGAATACAGCGGGATAGTCACCTCTTCTGACCGGCTGGCTATGCCGTGTTTGATGCACCCCAGGATGGTGTTTGGCCTCCTGGCTGCCAGGGCACCCTGCTGACTCCTATTAAGACGGCTGCCCATCAGCACCCCCAGATGCTTTTCTGCAGGGCTGCTCTCCAGCCACTCCTCTCCCAATTCATACTTGTGCCAGCCTTTACTTCATCCTAGGTGCAGAATCCGGCACTTTAGCTTGTTAAATTTCACCCCATTAATCATAGCCCAATGCTCCAGTCTCTCTAGATCCCTCTGCAAAGCATCCCACCCGTCGAGAGTCAACAGCACCTCCCAGTTTGGTACCGTTAGCAAACTTGCTAATGGTGCATTCAACTCCTGCATTCAGATCCATTTATAAATATACTGAATAGAACTGGCCCTAGAACTGAGCCCTGAGAAACACTGCTGGTGATTGGTCACCAGACAGATGTAGCCCCATTTTTTTTGTCCTTGAAAACTCACAAAGATAGTAGATTCAAAGAGGCCATGTTATCACCTATAAAGTATCAGCCCATATTTGAAGAAAAACAACGTGTGTCTGGCCACTGTATAAACTGGAGTGGAGCTGAACTTTGCTCTTTCATTCAAAGGATTAGAACAGCGGAGTATCAATTTTTAAATTCTGGATTCATCTAAATCTTGATAAGAATGTCAAATCCCCTTTAGCAAGGAGTCTTGAAGAGTCAATTTCAAGTAAATGCTGTTACCTGTTCAACAACATAGAAGGCAAATTCCAGCCGCTGCTTCTGCAACATAGGTATCAGATGACGGAAAAAAATTGGAAGATGTTCCTGGCGATTCCGAAAAGGAATAAGAATTGCCACCTTCAAAGAATTATATATATATATGAAGCTATTACATTAGCATTTTTAAGTTTTAATGTTTCAATACAGATCAAGTTTTCCATGGCTTGCATAGGCTTTTCAACTTCTACATTTAAATTGGCTCCGTGTTTCACACTTTTGTTCCCGCAAGGAAAGCATGTTGGCATTTTGCTCAAATAATTGAAAAAAAAAATCTGAGTATGATATAAATAAGATTTTCCTTTTATGTTCACTTGCTGCTAATTATACTTTAAGCAACTTACACGTCGGACAAGTTTGCATCCGTATGAAAAAAGGTTTAATAACAACAGTTAATTAACCTTTAGAAGTTCTTGACAATCTATTTCAAGTTTTTCTTCAAGCTTTAGTCTCTTCTCGAGCACAGATAGCATAATACACATACTATAACATACTACATATTATATAAAATATATAGCAGTAAAAGACTGAGTGTTTGCAATGGTAAACTATTATACACCAACAGGAAAAAAAAAAAACCAAAACAGAAAAGTAGCACCTCACCTTCCATCGTGGCTTACAGTCTTTTGGTTTCCAGTGTCCCCCTGGTTTAATGTCTAAATCTTTTGAAAACAGTTGCTGTATTTCATCAAAACTAATTTCACTCATATTGACATTGATAAGGCCTCCTAAATACGGGAAAAAAAATTTTGTTTATTCACTTCAATTAGGACAACAGATCTAATGCTACATGGTATATGACAGACAGATAGCATCAGAAATTCGTAGTTACACTACCTACAGACAAAAAAGAAACAACTTATACTATCCTCTCAATGTTCAGTTTTTACAGAATGAATTTCAGTATTTCCCAATATAAACATTCCTTCAATAAATCCTATAAGCAAAATACTCATTTCAGAGGACACAGAACAAGCAAAGTAATTTGAATTCTGTATCTATTCCAGAAAACTAGAGTCACCTTTCATTTCAAGTACCACTATTAACAATTCCATATCATCTGCACTACTGAACCAATACGCAAATTCTGGGGGTCTTCCTACCCGCACTTCCAAAAAAGAAGAAAATGCATTATCACCACACTTCAAATTTCCTCAATTTAAATTCTAGATACTTACGCACATTTCACATACAGCCTTCATTCACTAATTCACCACTGTCTGTATCAAACCAATTCACAGCAAGCAGCTGGATTTGAGAATTACCACTGATAGAACTAATTAGCCCAATGGAAAAACGATTCACAAGTGGCTACTGATGAGAGTGGAATTCAGTAAGACATTGAATAAAGGCCACAATATAGTAGCAATAAAAATCAGGTTAGTACTTATTATGAGAAAATATTTACACTTAGTTGATCGATAAAAGTTGTCGGTCATTAGCTTAAGCACATGTATAAATTTCAAAACTGGAACTAATGATTCATAGTAAATACCCTCAAAAGCAGAAGAAATCAAGAAAATTTGGGGAGAGAAGTAGTATAACACTCCTTAACCAGAAGATTAATTTGTTCTTCAGCAAATACTATGCTAGATCACTAAATAAAAATCTTGCAATAACTGTCTGACAGACACCATAAAATTTTCTACTTATCTTTGTCTAAAAATTTAAGTCTTTTGGTCATAGTTGGAATTTTAGTCATTGAAAGGAATCCCTCCCATTTTCTCCCCTGTGCCCATACCCAAAAGATACCATTTGTGTCCAAAAGATTGCTTCATGTTGTAACACTGAATTGACTAGCTATCTAAATGTTTTGGAAAGATTGAAATTTTTGGAGCATATTAAGAATAACTATTATTTTCAGGAGGAGGCAGAAGATACTGCAAGAGCTATTTTAGTTTTGGATATGATATAAATATAGAACTACTTGTAAATGTAGAAGGTAAGTTTAAAAAAAGAGGAAAATCATAGGGGAAAAAAGGGATCAGGAGCAGCACAAGGAGATCTTTTAAGAGCAGATTTAAACAAACTCACATTTATTTATTTATTTTAAAAGAAAAAGAAAACCTAGCAATTGCTGAAAAAAGACTGTGTAAATATACATCAGAACAAGTTAATCCTACAAAGCTTAAAAAAGAAAAGCTTAGATGATCATTATGGCTGTATCTCAAACTCTTCAATAACTTCAAAAAGAAGTGTTACAAGAAGTAGAAACAAGGGCAATCAACACAGGACCAGTATACAGAGTATAAACGTACAAATTAAATTTAAGAAAATAAATAGATCACTAAATCAATTTCAACTACCAAGAGACAGAAGCAACAAGAACCTTTCAGTTTATTTATAGACTCTAATAGGAAAATAAAGGTACATAAAGGTCAATTACTACACCAGAAAGGAAGCCATATGATGCAAAGGACTCAGGTACCTTAGTCTCTTGAGAAAAATTTAGATGTGATCAGATGCTTACAGAGTTTAAATTAAAACAATTTAAAAAAAATGAGGAATGGTAAAACATTACTTATGTAAGGCAGGTGCTTCTAACTTGATGGGACATCATGAAATTTCCTCCAGACTGTTAAAAAGTATCGGGGCATGAGAAGGCATCTTAGTAAATATCTGGGCTTAGTATTCACTACTTCCATTATGGTCTAGCATGCTGCAGTAAAACATATTTATACATCTCACAAAAAGAGAAAGCTCAGGAAGCAGAAAGCATTTTGAAGAACAGAATCAGAAAACAAATAATTTCAACAGATCAGATATATACTGAAATCAATAGTGAAATTAATTTAAAAAAAAGTATGGATTGTTACTGAAGGAGAAATGAAGCATACACACACAAAACAGGAAATACCTGGTTATGCTGCAGTATGCAGAAAGATATTTTGATGGTTTATAATGGATTGCTTATTAATATGAGAAAATAAATTATAAGGCAATTGCACAAAAATGGTAAATCTCATTCTGGAATACATTAACCACTGTTATATGAAAGACAGAAGGTAATCGCTAGTTTGTTTTATAACCAGGGTTTTAGCCAGCTATGATGCTTCAAAAGGAAATCAAATTAGAGAAGGTCTACAGTACAAAAATCAAGAATAACAAGGGCTTTAGAAATTAGCTAGTCTAGAAAGGCTGAAAGTACTGGTTTATCTACAAAGGAAGAGACTGACAAAAACATAAGTCTTTCTGAAGACAGATAACCAATGTTTTACCTATTTTTACCAACTATTCAGTTGATGGAATACTAGCATATACTACTTCTGGAGACAGTTTATCTTCCTCCACTGATGGCTTTTTTTTTTATTAGAGTCTATAAATACAAAACATATTTTCCTAATTTCTGTTTAAAATGGTTTAGGTATATTCAACTCCAGTGTACTGAGGTGACCAAATGAGACTATCTGGCTATTTCCAATAGCTCATTAAGAGCCAGCTCTTAGACAAACCATGAAGTGACTTGGGCAGACTGCTTAAAAATACTTAACGTGAGGGTTTTATTTCATATAACTGAGAAACCTGATCTGCTTTCCATTTACCTATCAAATCAGTATTAAAATTACGCTGATTAAAGACTATTTCGAACTGCTTCAATCTTGAAGTAGAGGTGTCTTGCTTGTGAATTAGCACAGCAGTGCTCATCCAGTGGGTTATAACCTTCAAAGACTGAGTCACACACAAAAGGCACTAGTTGGTCCTATTTTTAGAGCATATGCACTTGGGACAAAACATGATTTTACCATACCTGTCACGATACAAATTTGGCAAGTTGATGACTTCTATAACCATCTTAGACTATTAAGGAGGTCAAAATATATGTGATTCAAGACGCTTTCTTTAGCTGGCTATCTCAGGACCACCTACAACATTTCATTGCACTAAATCATCTTCAGAGAAGTTCTGTTTAGATTATAATTAAATATACAGATGGTGATTAAAAAGGTATACAGGAAAGCCACAGGGTGAAAGACACATTTCTTTCTTGAATGGTAACTTATCCAGTGAATTATTTTCTATTAAAATTATGATTTCTCTATTAAATGAACAGGACAGAGTAAATACAAAGAGATTACTAACAAAAAAAGTTGGAAAAGAGAGCAGCAATAAGGAGACCTATGAACAAATCCTGGTAGAATTACATATAGCCAATGAGGTTGATAGCAAGGTCGGCAGAGCGGAATGCATCCCTGCTCTGGCAATTCTAAATACCTGTCCGTGCAAACAAGTCTGCATCAATGGTTTAAGATAACATGCTGTAAGCAGGCTGACCTACTAAGGTACCTTGGTACCTCCTAACTTGCCTCATCCCTCCACTCCTGGACATCAGACTAATACACAAGAATAGGTAGCAGAAGTCAATACAGTTTTGAACTATCTGTTCTGGCAGAATTCAACTGCCAGAACCCTTGAAATTTTCAGTAAAAAAAACTTATATGCATTTTTCAATCAACATAATCATCATTCTTGTTTCTCTGGTTATCCAGAGTTGACATTTTTGAATTTTTTATTTGTTTCCCAAAGTAGTTAAAATATTTACTACTGCAATAATTTAGTTTTATTTGTTTTACTTGGATTAAGACAGTTTTCTACATGATTTAAGTTCATAAGCAACAGATTTCTAGCTTTGGTTCTATGCCTGTATATTTACAATGTAAGAGACAAAGTTTAGAATTTGGAGGCATTGAAGAGAAACACAGATAACAAGCATTGTTACTGTACTCTTCACTGGATAAAATTATCTGTTGAGATTAAAAAAGAAGTTATAATGGAATCTAGATTAGCCTAATAAAATCCACTATTTTTCTTCGAAGAAAAAATGATCAGCAATTCAGTTTCTCAGCGACTTTGTTTGGTATGATATGGATCTCTTCTGGTGTATTAAATACTTAATTACTTGCTCATGCTGAATGACAGCCCACAGCTTAAGTCAAGTGTTAGCCTAAAAAACAAGAGGTTAGAATTCCGGAAGGCATCATAAATATCTCCAGAAACTATTTCAAATTTTCTCTCTTACAAATCAGTAGTTTATTTGTTTGATTTCAAATATAGCTAGTAAACTAAAACTGTTAGCATAATAGATACTGCCAGATACTAATGAACAGATACTTCTAGTAACATATTAACACTTATTTACAGAGAGTTGTTGATTCTTCTTCTCTGGTTGGTCCATTTTGACACCAAATGAGACATTTCAATTTAACTAATTAGCTTTGAGATCTATACTAATGCTATTATTTGTTCTTCACTCAAAAATATTAAGTCTGTCCACAAAACATTTACCAGAACTGAAGTAATTCAATGGATTACTGACTGAAGTTATGATTTCTTCCAAAGCAGAGCACAGAAAACCATTTATACTTAAATCATCCCTTTCTTCCTAGAGCAACTCTGATAACGTAACAACAATTCCTAACATAGAGAAAAAAAGCTGAAAATTCCATACTACTTTCTAAGACGGAACCCCGTTTTAGCCAAGGGACTGCAATTTCATAACGGTTAAATATAAGAACTATCTCTAATATCAAACAATCGGTGGTGAAGGTCAAGGTAAAGCATTCACCATCAGGAGTGATTTGCCTCTTTATCTTCAAAACTGGCCTCCTACCTAACACTTCTTGGTCTTTAAGGATTGCTTTCTCTACCAGCCGGAGGAGAGCAAAGAATGCCTAGAATTTTGTCTGAATCTGAACAATGGCAAGTTTGCAGGAAAGGGGAATTCACATGAAAATTTACGGTTCTTAACAAGAATTTTTAAGGATTTTCCCGAACAAATCTATACTTTGTCTACAGAGAGAAGATAAAAAAGTCATGTCAACAGACTTTCAGCCACATTAATAAATCAGGTTAAGGACACTGAATTACATCAAGGTACTCTTCCAATCTCAGTTTGTGTACCTGCTTTAATTGTGCAATACCTTCTTATAAGACCTTCTACATGCACGGGGATACTGCTACGTAGGACAGCTGTGATATTACAGGTTTTATAAAAATCCAGCAAACCAAAACAGCAATGGTACCAAAGTACTCAACTCAGCTTCTTATTTCTGCATGACACTCCTCTGCAACTAAACACTTCCAAACAAAATAATTAGACATTTAGATTCTAGGCTTAGAGACAAATAAAGTTAGGGTTACCTCATCAAGTTCTATTAATAGCTTGGGATCTTAAACATTTGGGTTTGAAGGCTTAATTTTAAAATTTCCCCACTTTTCATTTGTTATGGAAGTACTACTTCCTCATTATGCCAGGGCTTTAACACTTTCTTACCTCCTTCAATTCACACTTCACTACACCATCGTGTTCAGTTTCCTATATACTGAGGTAACCGCAATCAGGTGACAGAGATTTGAGAACTAGTTTCTGACTCATGAATCTTTGTATTAGGAATATCATTTCTAAAAAGGAAAATTTTAACTATTCCTCAAAATATGCAGCTCTGAATGGGTACTTTTTACAAAGGCATTCTGACACATTAATAAAAACATTTGGTATTTAATTTGTAGAAGGTAAAATGCTTTTGTAAATAAAATTTAAAAGACATTAGGTGATTAGTAAAGAGGACAAAAGCTTTAGTAACACAATAGTTACAGGCAAATTTCTGCTAAGCATTATTGCCCATTCTCAGATGTACTTTATTTGTTACTTTCTGCTATATATTTGGACTGCTTACAATTCTATTTTATATTAAAATAACTGTATTTTGTTTTAAGTACAATCCAAATTACTAGATAAATATTAAGGTCCGTTTAAAACTTACTCATGTAAGGCAGCTTCTCTGGACAAGCCTGGTAAGGAGAGTAAGTGAAGTTTTCTGGAAGATACATTGTTGTTTGAGCCACACAGTCACTAGAATTGTTTCCTTCAGGATAATCTTGAAAAGAGGAATTGATTTTTGTAAAAATCTGTTATGCACTGAATTAGTAACATATCACACAGGTGAGAGCATTAACTTTGTAAGTAACAAATTACTAGCAGCATGATTAAAAAACATTTTAATGTACTAAAGGAACAATAATTAAATTAAGGTATCTTTGTTACAGATATGACCAATATTTCCTACTAAAGTCAACTGATAAACAGTAACTATTTGGCCTTGACTCCAGCTACAGAGGAGTAGGACTTTGGTCTAGGTTTTCATAATCAAGCTCTGTCATTAAGACACAGCTTTTTTATTTCTTCATAAAGCTCTTTTAAAAATGAAATTAAATAAGAAATATTCTTACCTGTGCCATTCAGTGTAGTATTTTTGTTAGTGTACAATCTGATCATGTGTCCTATTGTTTTTACATTTTCTCTCAACATTATACCACGAGCTTGCACCATAAAGAGATACGTGTTTGCTGATAAAACAAACAATTTTGAATTTTAATTAAAATAAGGTATTTCCAAATTATTCTAACATCTATTTATAATGTGTTCAGTATTTACTACTATGTCTGAACCCATGGCTAGTGAACATTAATCCTTCAAGATGAAGATCCACAAAGAGTAAAACCTAACAGCAACAAAACAAAAGAACAAAATGGATTCATAACTACAGGTGTATACAAAAAACCAAAATTATAAAATGTCAATACACACTTTATATGACACTTTCCCTAATTTATATACAGCAACTGACAACAAGAAACATATGAATGAAACATATGAATTTACCAATAAAAAGGTTTTCATATGTAGATACATCCCCTCATATACGCATATACACACACATCATAGAAATATAGGACAAAAAAAATCTAGAAAATCTTTTTGTCCCATAGAATAGTAACCCTCTGTACTCATTAGTTAACACAGCTTCCAGTAAAAATGTACTGCTATTCATTCACTCCCAACAGCTGTTTCGTTATACAACCGCTACAAATCACTGCCAGTATTAATGTTTGATAATTATATGTGAAATATTTTTACAAGCATCAACAGTGAGTAAATCAACATTCTGAGTAATTGAGCAACTCACTAATAACAGCATGAAATAATCCTGTCTCAGCCTTACACTCAAAGCCCCAAATCTGATCTCAAGGCCATTCTTTGTCCAAAACAGAAGAGAGTGAGTTGGAAAAGAAGCTGCATTTATGTCTGAGTAAGCAAATGTCTACCCAGAACTCACAGAGCTCAAAAAATAGTGTAAAAGGACAAATTCCCTTTGGAAAACACTTTTTACACTGGACAGCAAAAAGGATCAGAGATCATCTGTCACTTCACCAATGTTAAGCACCCGTTTGTCTGGCAGATACTTGGCTCGCCGTAACTAGTGACCACTCTAACTAAAAAGTGCTCTGAGACTTTGGAGGAAAGAACTAAACATACCAGAAAAACAACAGAGTAATCTTAATCTGGCCTAAAGAGATTAAAGAAAATTAGAAAATTATTTCAGGAACACCACTTCATCAGACAACACAGCACCAGTGGCATGACATCCAGACCAGCTGATATCTCCTTAGAGCCCAACACAAAGAGACTAGAGCTGCAGAGAACTAATAACAAAGGACTGGGGCATTTCCAGAGGAAAATACAGTGATTAATTCTACCACATTAGCAAACAATACTACTGCCACCCACAGAAGTACAAATACCAACATAATCTTTTAAGGAGTATTATTTGCAAACCCTACAACAATGGTTTTGGGTTTAAAAGAAAGCACAGGAGGGGCTCTCCTGGCTTTCAAAGAACTCTTTATTAAAATAAGGAATTTTATCACTCAAAAGACAGGCTCTGAACATGTCAGGTGCTATGCATGGCATATAATTCTCAAATTCTTGGCTAGCATGATTTGTTTTTGTTAATAAGAGCTTATATTTGTGTAAAAATTACTCAGCTGCTAGGATTCTGAAGTTGTCTCAACACTCCCCAGCCACTACAACAGAAACAAAGCAAACAAAAAACCTACAACTTTGGCTTGATGACAGAGGTAGGAAATACAGCAAAAATGACTCTTACCAGGATCCAAGACAACTTGATCCAAGACAACAGATAACATTCAGATTTCTTTACTGAAAACTTGCACAAAAACTTCTCAAAATTGTAACCCAAAATTCACTGTAGAGAAGCACCTGGGTTTCTAATTATTTTCTTACACTCATAGTTTTCCACTCAAATTATGTTTTTAGGGTGTCTATATTAAAAATCTCAGGGAATCTGTACATATATGAAATTATCTACTCAAGAAACCTTCTCCTTTAGAAATTAACATAAAAGCAATTTGATCTATTCCCCCAAGAACAATTATTTACTTTCAAACAATTTCAAAATTCAAGGCTTCCCAAAAGTAAAACTAAGTGGATTTTTGCCTTTCAAACAGGACATTTTTTTCCTAAATAACAAAGAATGACTTTCTTGCAAACTTCAACACGATTCAGCTGGCAGGTGAGCCCCCACCCAGTTGCTTGATCGCCCCCCTGCAGCAGGATAGGGGAAAGAATCAGAATTGCAAAAGCAACAGGGATGGGGAAGGGAAAAACACAACCAAACCAAAACACAAACAAAAAACCCAACCAAACTCACCACCAAGAGACAAATGCTCTGCCAGTCCCCAAGCAACTTTGGGGGAAAAAAACTTGGTGGAAAAGGATCAGGTCAGGGAACACTTAAGCAAACTGCGCATACAGCCCATCAGCCCTGATGGGATGCACCCATGAGTGCCGAGCGAGATGGCACATGTCATTGAGAGGGCACTCTTGATAATCTTTGATCAATCATGGTGACTGGGAGAAGTGCCTGAAGACTGGAAGAAAGCATATGTCACTCCTGTCTTTAAGGAGGAGGAACCAGAGAACTCCAGGCCGGTCAGCCTCACCTCGATCCATGCGAAGGTGGTGGAGCAGCTAATCCTAGAAACCATTCTTCAGGTACATGAACAACAAGAAAATCATCAGCAGCAGTCAGCATGGCTTCACCAAGGGGAAGTCATGCTTGACCAACCTGATAAACGTTTCTGACAAAATGACGAAGCTGGTAGATGAGGGCAGAACAGTAGATATTGTCTACTGGGACTTCAGTAAGGCCTTTCACACTGTATCCCATAAGATCGTCATAGACAAGCTGCTAATGTACAGGCTGGATGCGCAAATAGTGACGTGGACTGCAAGCTGACTGACTGACCAGGCCCAGAGGGTAAGAATCAGTGGCACAAAGCCTAGTTGGAGGCCAGTGACTAACAGTGTACCCCAGGGGTGAACACCAGGTTCAATCCCTTTTAACATTTCATTAGTGATCTGGACGATGGGGCACAGTGTACTCTCAGAAAGTTTGCTGATGACACAAAACTGGGATAAACAGTTGATAGGCCAGAGGGCCATAACGCCGTCCAGAGGGATCTCAACAGTCTGAAGAAACAGGCCAACAGGAACCTTATGAAGTTCAACGAGGAGGAGTGCAAAGTCCTGCACCTGGGGAAGAGCAACCCCAGGCACCAATGTATGCTGGGGGCCACCCAGCTGGAAAGCTGCTTGGCAGAAAAGGCCTTGGAGGTCCCAGTGGACAGCAAGTTGAACATGAGCCAGCAACGTGCCCCTGCTGCAAATAAGGCCAATGGCATCCTGGGCTGCATTAGGAGTGTTGCCAGCAGGTTGAGATGATCCTTTCCCTCTACTCAGCACTAGTGAGGCCACACCTGTGGCCCAGTTCTGGGCTCCTCAGTAGAACAGAGACATGGACATAGAGAGTCCAACAAAGGGCCATGAAGACAACAAAAGGACTGGAGCATCTGTGCTGTGAGGAAAGGCTGAGATAGCTGGGACTGTTCAGCCTGGAGAAGGCTCAGGGGGATCATATTGATGTATACAAAGGGCGGGTGTATATGTATATAATGTATATGAAGGGAGAGTGAAAAAGAGGACAGAGCCAGGTTCTTTACAATGGTACCCAGTAACAGGATAAGAGGCAGTGGGCACAAACTGAAACACAGGAAGTTCCACCTGAACATCACGAAACACTTTTTTACTATGAGGGTAATTGCGGACTGGCACAGGTTGTGCACAATTACATAGACATTGTGGAGTATCTATCCCCAGGGATACTCAAAAGCCATATGGATGCAGTACTGGCTTCAGGTGGTCCTGCTTGAGCAGGAGGGTTGGACCAGATCACCTCCAGAGGTCCCATCCAATTTCAACTATTCTGTTCTATTATTCATCTTTCTACATTTATAGAATCATAATATCCTTAAGGTTGGACATGACCTCTAAGATCATCAGGTCCAACCGCTGTACCAACTATTGCTCCTCTCACAGTGCAAGGCAATACACAATCCAGGAGCGCAAAATTTCACACTTAACTAAAGAAAACATCTAACAATGTAACCACCTAGAACTAGTTTTATCCATATTCTCCTTATTTCACTATACATGGTCCATATTAAATAAGAAACACAACTTCTGATTCAAGAAACATACAGAATCCAGAGTGTCACACAGTTTACAAGCTAAGCAAATGGGAAGCGCAGTGCAGGATATAAAACAACACACCCATATAGACACCTTGGAATAAATACCATAGTCAATGTTCCACCTAAAGCAACTGCAGTGCAAGCATCAATTCATACATAATTCAGATGAAATTTTCACTGGCAATTGATCCAGATCTGTATCAACAACCACCAACACACAGCCACATGTCAGTCATCAAAAGTCCTGGTTCTAGGGCATTATTTAACACTCATTCTGATAAAGCATATTAGGGCATTAAAGGGATCATCCTGTATTTCAGAGGAGATGTTAAAAATATCAGATGGATCATTTTTGTCTCCATTTTTTGTAGCTCACTGGTTATTAATAATTTTATGTGTTGACTGAAAACAAGATCATTAGGGGGGGAATGCATTAATTCTTACAATATAAAAATATTTGTAAAAATGGCTCAATGTTTTACATCAGGTAGCTTCCTGGTATTTAAATATTCACCCAAGGGCCATTTACAACTTTTTTAAAGAAAAAGGTCTCATTTGCAGATCACTCTCCATTAGTGAATCAAGCTTGTTACAGTAGTACACCAAAAGTTAAACCACTTCTCACAACACTGCATTAGTTTATGATCCCTTAGCTTCACAGAAAAAGCAAAAAAACTCAGTTTTACATAGGAACTCAGTAGTTTGTCATGCTGTACATATACGCCAAAGCAAAGCCAAAACAATGTGTGCCATGCACTTAGAAGCAATCAATGCAGTAAAGTATACAACAGAACAACCGAAATTAAAACTGGATCAATGACTAACATTCTGAAGAACAGCAGGAAGTTAGAACTATCATTATTTTAACAAGATTGTCAGAGAAGCATTAATGAGATTACAAACCAAACTATTATTTCTTAAATGCCAAAGAATAAAAGATGAACAGACTTGGAGATCACAAATTTGATTTAAAAATTCAGCTTTTATCATACAAAACAAAAACACACAAGAAAAAAGCCTTATACCACAAACACTTGTAACACAATTAGCAAAAAAAGTTAACACCCCCCATACTTAAAAAGTAAGATGATGATCATCAAAGCAGCTGTAGCAACATTATATGCTGATTTTCCAGGGGGAAGAAAAAAAAAATATTGAAAACCTCAGATAAGAGAGACACATCATAGAGAATCCAGAGACGCTGCAAAATTCTAATGCAATAAATACAGCTTCACACAAAATAGGTCTTACCAAATGACTAATGCCCCTAAAGTTACTTATCTGCTAGTCAGCACTCATTTTCACTGGACTTCTGAAAAGCACATTCAACACACTGCATAAAAATTGACATGGATTTGAATGGGTTAACAGAAAATTCTCCACTAGTAATCATAAATGAGAAATCATCTCATGGGGACATTTCTAGAACAAGTCCCACATGGACCTCTTCTCATCTCAAGGTTATAAGGTATTATTCTCAGTAATATGAGAGTTATAAATACACTATTGGCAGAGTTCATGCATGGCAAATTAACACAACAGCATTAAAGATTAAATTCTACAAACTAATCTAAATATACAGTAAGTAGAGCTCAGATGAAAACTCCTTCTAAAACATCACAGCCACGATTTTAGGAGCTAGGAGTATTTTCCAAAACTACAGGATAGGGACTTTAGTCTCTAAAACAGATTCATTAAACCATTTTGCAGTGTAGGATGACACCCAAAGTCATGTAAGACTACTGTAAACGGGTTCCTAGTCACAAATTGAAATGTACAGAGAACATAGATAAATCCTATGGTAAGTGTCCAACTTCCACAGGATTTTACTTGTTGTTACACATTTGTTGTTAATCAGAAGTTGTTTTCAAAACATGTGGAACAACCAGAAAAAAGTAAAAAATTGTATGCCTTGAAATGTATTTCTTGACTTGATCTGCTGTTGAATATTTAATACCAGTTTTGTACTATTTGTAATTTAACAATAAATCCAAACTTATTTCATGGGTATGGCGAGACTGCATTTGAGTCTGCATATGCATATCTCCTTGGATAGAAAACGCGTTAGAAAGATACAGATCACCTCAACCTAGGGAAAATACCAACAACCACAGATGTCTCTGGAGGTTAATAGGGATCATTCATACAGTGCAGATGCATGAATCTGTATCAGGTACAACAGTCTTCAAAACTGTTTTTAGTAGTGGTCTTTTTCAATACTCCAGACAATGCATACTCACTGCCACAAAGGACATGCCAAATGGATAAGTCCTCTGACTGCAAGTCTGACGGTTTAAATAAATGTCAGTTCACTGTTTATCAGAGGCAGTAAGAGAGGACATCTCATTCACCAAGTCTCCACTTACTGGTGAAGAAAAAAAAATTAGAATTTCTTTCTCTAGTGGTATTTTTAAGCATGAGACATGACACAATGTTCAATACAACTTCTAACACACTTGATACTATTCTATCCTCCAGTCTCGGGCGATTAATTGATTATATAGCAAGCCAGAAATAATTAAACAGCTAATTCTGAAACAGTATCCCACAGATATTTAGCAATCAGCACTGCTATAACCACTAAAATGCAACTTACATATTTGTTTATTTTTTTACCCCTCTACTCAAGGCAGATTCAATCAAGAAAGTAAATATTTTTACTTAAAGATTTTTCTTTTAATTTCTACAATCAAAATTTCAACTCCAACTTTAAAATACGTCATTAAAATTCATTACGACGTGTTTAATGAAGACTGTTCTAGACAGGATGACTTTGGATAACAACAATTAAATGACACACAATTAAGTGACACTTTAAGCCTAAGCCTTGCCAATTCATCCAGAATTTTGTTTTAATGAGTTCAGCTATTGAGAAAATTAGAAAACTGTCATATCTATAAATCAAATAATCCAAATGTCAGCATAAATTTAAAAAAATAAAAAATACACGCACAATAACATGACGGTAAAGGACAACTGTAAATTTAAAGAAAGTGAACTGACCATTGGGGATATTTTGCAAATAGGCATCATTTGTACCTGAAAGCAATCTCTGCACTGTGTTCACACAAATCTAGTACTGAATCCCACATGACGCACAACCATTGCATGCTGCCCCCCATCATATCATTGCATTATCTGACTACAAAATATTGCCCTAAACAGACTAAGAGCTGTAAAAAAAAACAAGCAGTCACTTGTAGGAACAGTCTTTGTAATGAAAATGCAGTAGATAAGCTATCTTTCACCACAGACAGATGTGGAAATGTTTAAAGACTGGGCCATGTCAGTGAAGCACCATAGTTCAAATAAATGTTTCCAGGGCATACAGTTTCTCCTCCTCAGTTTCTCCTCCTCAACTGATGAGAGCACCACATTCAAATAACTGGCTGGCTTAAGCAAAAACCCATTTCACATGAGGTCTCATAATTACTTTGGCCTTGTGAACTTAGCTGCACGCTGTAAGTGCCTGTATTTTTTTTCCCTTTTCTGACTAACAGCAAGACCACAAAATGAGTACGCCATGAAATCTTACGCAGACAAGTTCCCTGACTAGTAACTAAGTATACCTAAGGGCTTTAGGAAAACCATCAGATAAAGATGCAAAACAACTGATTCAGAAGGAAATATGCAAGTTTAGTCAAAGCTTATCTGTTGGCAAAAGTGAAAGACAGTCATGAATCACTGAACTCCAATAATTCATTCAGCATCAGGTGCTAGGAATGACTGTGCTGGGCCAACATCATGGAAAAATCTTTGCACTTCCAGAATAAGGCAGAAAACTTACCCACGAAACTGCCTGAGCTCATAAGAAGCTCAAGGCACTAGTCAGAATGCCTTAGGGAAGACACTATTCATCAGAAAGTTGACTAAAATGTTTCTGTTAAAGGGTTTGGTTGTAATTTTTGGAAC